TCCTGGCCAACCGTCCCGGTGGCCTCGGCGGCGGTTCGCCCCTGTCCCGTTGCCCGTAGCGCGACCGAGGTGGGCGCCACCTTGAAAGCCTCATCTTGGCCGCGTTTGGGGTGAGGGGCCAAGGGAGGCTCCAGCGTGACCCCCGTGTGCTTGGTGCCCCAGGTGCTGTTCGAGGCGGTGGTCTCCAGCGAGCGCAGAGGCTATCTTGGCTTGGATGACATTTTGCTCCTGAATTATCCGTGCTGTGAGTATGGCAGAGCCGGGAGCCGAGCGTGGGTGCTGCGGGATGGCAGCTGGGTGGGTGTCACCGAGCCGGGCCAGGCAGAGGGTTTAGGAGCTGGTGCCCGATGGGACGATGCTGGTTGGAGCAGTAAAATGGGCTAAAGCCAGGGGCAGCTGAGGCTGGTTCCTCCCTCCCGTCACCCAAGGGAGCCAGGCACGGCCAGCCATCACCTGGCTGAGGGGTCCGGACCCTGCTTCTCTATGTTTTGGGCTTGGACGTTGAGGTGGCACCTGGGTGCCCTGTTGTCAGATGGGGTAGCGAAGCTCCGGTCTCCTTGTGTAATCCCCGGGACTCCAGTTTGGGAGCTCTTGTTTCTCTGCATGACCAACAGCTCTGAGGGATGTGTTGCTCCCTGTGAAAAAGCCTCTTCCTCCACTTGACGCAAAGCCCCAGGGCTGCTTCAGCCTCTGCTCAGTTAACGTATAAGCTTAGACAAGCACAGGCTGAATGCGTGGCCCAAAAATGCCATTTGAGGTGGGCAGCCCTGGCTGGTCAGGATGGGACCACCTGAAATTCCCACTGGGAACGGGGAGCTCATCTTCTGACAGACAGATGACCACGGCGTCCTGCCTGGAGCTCAGCTCTCGCCCCAGGATTTAGCCCTGGGATTTTCTGGAGTTTGAGGTGGAAGCGCTACGACACGGACGCAGATCCTTGGAGAGCCTCGGCCAGCTGGTGACTTTTCCGTTTCCGTGTCTCCCGGCAGCGAAAGCTCCTCATTTCTCCCGCCTGGGTGACGTGGAGGTGAACGCGGGGCAGAATGCCACCTTCCAGTGCGTGGCCGCCGGGAAGGCCTCCGAGGCGGAGAGGTTCCTCGTGCAGGTAAGCGGATGGATGGGCTGATGCTGCGCAGGCTGCCTCTGACCGGAGATGAGACACCACCACCTCCACCGTTAACCTTCTGCATCCCGTCTGCCATTCCTTTAGGCCCCTTCCTATGGGAGAAGATACTGAACGAAGGGGAATTTCCCTTCTTTAACCAGACGTCCTTCAGAGCCCGTTTTGTGGCTCTGGAGGTCAGGTTGTGCCTCCCTCTAACATCTCTTCTCTCTCCCCGGCGGGCAGAGGCAGAACGGAGAGGTGGTGCCAGCCGCCTCGGTGAAGCACATCAGCCACCGGCGCTTCCTGGCCACGTTCCAGCTGGACGAGGTGTCCAAGAGGGAGCAGGACATGTACCGCTGCGTTACCCAATCCGTCCGGGGCTCGGGCGTCTCGAACTTCGCCGAGCTCATCGTGAAAGGTGAGCGAGGTGCCGCTGTCCGTGGGGTTTTGCAGCCGGCGGTGGTGCTGGGCTGCCCTCCGTGGCCCTTGTGAACGAACGGGGAAACGGAGGCCCAGTGGTAGGAAACAACTTGCCACGAGGCTGCAAGGGCTGAGCCTTAGGCTGAGATTATGGGATCGTTGTTGTGTTCAACGCTGGTGGAGGCTGGTACCTTCAGCGAATCGTTTCCCCTGTATGGGCCTCTGTTTCCTGAAATTTAAAATGTGGATAATTTCCTCCTGGTGCTCTGTAGCTCGAGTCTGGATCACATCTGGGGCAGGAGCTTGGTTGCATGGGCTGTTTCTGCTCTCCTGCTTCCAGAGGAGGAGGAAGGCATTTTCCTCAAGGCAGGAGGATCACACTTATTTGCTGTGACCAGCGTGAACGAGTCAGTAAACACAGTTCACCATAAAGCAAGGACACTACCTTTCCCAGCTGCCTTTATGCATTTACTTTTGATTGTAGTAGCTGGGAATTAATAATTACGATGAAACTTTGCAGGACCTTAGTGAATGCTGTGCAGTGTATCGTATAAAAATAATTAAGGTTTGATCAGATGAAACTGGATTGCTGCCTGGGCTATTAAGCCCTCACTACAAGTGATGTGTGTAGGGATTTATCTCACAGGCTAAAATTTAGGGACTGGATTGTGCTCTCTGATACTTCAGCGCGCATCCCCGTCTCTGTTTCAGTTGCACTCTGTGCATGAGATCAGAGTTTGTCCTGCACCCTGAAGTGCAAAGGTTTGGATGAGAAGAGAGACTGCGAATGTCTTGACTGTAGGCAGAGGAAAAGGTTGTTCCCAGTGGTGGAAATCCAAATGAAGTCAGGGAGGCTCCTCTGGTTGAGAGAGACCGTATCTGACCTGGTGTTAGCAAGGCTCAGACAGACAAGGAAGGAAAAAGTCTGAATATTAGTTGGCTCTGGGATTTCAGGCCCTTGCACTGCAGATGCGCAGCAAAAGCAGAGATGATGTAGGACCTGCAGTGGTGGGATTGGCGCAGGGGGTCCTTCAGGGAGATAACCCTGCTTGCGCAGGGTGTCTTGGCTTGGCTTTGTAGTCCTTGGGCCCTGCGGCAGTAGGGGTGCTGGCAGAGCTGTCTCCAGAGGGGCATGCTCCATGTGCCATGTCTTCCCTCTCTTCCAGAGCCCCCGACACCCATTGCTCCCCCGCAGCTGCTCCGCGCGGGCTCCACCTACCTGATCATCCAGCTCAACACCAACTCCATCATTGGTGACGGCCCCATCGTGCGCAAGGAGATCGAGTACCGCATGACCTCGGGGCCCTGGTCGGAGGTGCACGCAGTCAACATGCAGACCTACAAGCTCTGGCACCTGGATCCCGACACGGAGTACGAGATCAGCGTGTTACTCACTCGCCCCGGGGAAGGAGGCACGGGCAAGCCAGGGCCACCTCTCATCAGCAGGACCAAGTGTGCAGGTAGGCGCCGCGCTTGCCTCCCTCTGCCCGGTGCTCCCGGCTGGACTTGGTGTGGGATTGCGTTGGCCAAGGTCAGCAGAGTCCCCAGTGCTTGGACGGAGCTTGCTTGGCATCTCGAGGGGCGACCGCAGGAAATTGGAGTGGGGAGGTCGCGGGAAGGCTGGAAGCGGGCTTGTTTCAGACCTCCCACAAGCGTAGGTCTGGGAATACAAGCTGATGCTTAAAGCAGGTGTCCAGTTTTCCTAGTCCATGTGGTGGCTGGGAGAAGGGACTAGGACCTGGTGGAGAAATGCATGTCACCAGGGGGTTGAGTGCCCAGGATTTTGTCGTTATGCCCAGCTCTGTTGCTGCTGCCCCTCCGAGCCACGGGTAGGCGAGTCTGGCTGAGGCTGAGATGGGTGCAGAGGGTGTTTCCCCCAGCCTGCTGCAACCGGCTGCCCCATTTCTGCTCTGCTTGTGGGACTGTCGCTTGACCCTCTTCAGCTGAAACGATCCTATTAGAAGAAGGCTAAAAGCATTTCGGCTCACAGGGGCCACGTACCTGGGACACGTAGGCTGCTCTGCCAGGAGACCGAGATGGGCAGTGGCTGTGGGAGACGGGTACTGGCAATGAACCACGGGAAGCAGGAATCTCCTGTCTGGATGAATGGTACCCAGAGCAGCTCTCCTGGCTGAGCTGTCACTGCCCCAAACAGATCTCCCACTGGAGAATTGTTGTGAAGGTCCTTGTTCCTGCTGTCCTTGGTTGGTTTCAGGGGTGAAGTCTTTGCTGCTTGTGTTTCTGTGCTATCAGTTTGCAATTAGACAGGTACTAATGAGAAATCCAAGCCGAGAAGAATAAAAGAGCCCTGCAGAACGCCTTCCTTTGGGTCTGCCTCTGCAGCCTGTGTCTGCGGTTGAATACACTAACAGGGGCCACGTTAAACTGATAAATGATTGTTGCTTCAGCCACTGCGTAAAGCAGCAGCCAGAGCTCACTGGCAGCAGGAGGATTAAAAATAGTCCAGGAACAGTGAGGTGCTGCTTCTGCCCCAGCCTGTAGTTTGGCTCCAGAGCGTGTTTCTGCATCTTGTAAGGACTTGGAGCATCTGTCCTCCTGGTGAGGGGTAATGGGATGGGGTTGAGCGAGGAGTGTAGCTCTGAGGTTGGCCTTGCTGTTTGGACAGGGCCAGGGACGACGTGCTTCTTCTGAGGTGGCCCTTCAGGATGCCCTCCTGGCTGCACAGATAGAGCCACGGGGAGCCTGAGGTCTGTCTGGGCAGGCTGGTGGCAAGGGAGACAGTGGAGGGAGAATGCTGCATTAGGGAAATTGGGATGGAAGAGAGCTGGGCAGCTCTGCTGCCTCATGACCTTCCTTTGTCCTCGCTCTATCGGGAACTGGAGATGAAGGGCTCATGGGTCTGGACCCAGCAAAAGCAGCTTTTTCTCTCTTCTCCTAGAAGAGAGGTGTCACAGGTACCAAGAACGTTTGGTACCTCTCAGGAGGATGTGATACGGGTGGGAGACTCCTCACAGGAAATGTAAGAAGACTTTGCTGGGTCCTGACAGGCCCCTTGGGTGGTGGTGGCTTTCCCACCCCACCTGAGGGGCTCTCGGTGTCCTGTCAGCCACACAGGGCTGAGGGGACAGAGGACCAAGGCGGTGGCGTGATACATTACAGGGACTCTCCTCGTGGTGGCTGAGACTCAAACGCAGTAGCTCTTAGTCCTAGTCTGGTGACTTTGTCCGCTTCCATCCTTCTGGTGAAGGTTTCCAGCTTTGACAGATGCCAGTGTTGCGCTGGGCTGGCCAGTGCTTCACTGAGCCAGCTGTTAAGTGAGCTCCTGCTGGGAGCATCCTCAGGCAGGAGAAACTCGAGGCAGGGAAAGTCCAGGGACCTTTGGCTGCATGCAGTAGCTTGGCTCGAAACATCGCTGCCTCTGACCGCAGCAGATAGACACATGGGTCTGCCTTTAATTGCCTTTTTAGCAGCAGCTGCCGGCAGCATTCACCCTGCTCTGCTGTTCCTCAGCCGAGAGCCTTTCGGGGGGCTGGCACGGCTGAGGAGCCCAGTGGAGGCTGGGCCATAATTAGCTGGCTTGTAAGAGCAGCAGCCCGGGCTGAAGCCATGCTGGTGAGCGCAGCTTCCAGGCTGGGATTCCCTCTCCCTCCCTCTCCGAGCCAGGCAGAGCCATTTCTTCGTTAGCCATCCCTCTCTGCCCGACTGCTCTGTCGCCTTGCTCTGCAAAGAGGCACGGAGCTGAGCAGCCCAATTTAGCAGCTGTGCGCGACGTCTCAGGAGGGACCTCTAATTAAACCAACGTTGTGATCAGGCTGGTTGGAGGGTGGCAGGGTGCTCTGATGAGAGCTGAGTCTTGATCCAACGCAAGCAGCGTGCACGGAGGGGCTGCATATCCACCCAGCCTGAAAATGCCAGCTCGAGTCCAGGAGCTCTGATTGACAGTGGATTTTTGCTAATCAGAGTCAACAGTTGCCAGACAAAGTAGCATGACCTTGATGCAGAAATGCACAGCAACGTGATGCTCAAACTTATCAGCTGCATCTGCTGCTAGTTTCAGTCCCTGGTGATGGGAGAAGGCCAGGAGGAGGGCAGGAGACGCAGCTGCTAACCCTCTGGGCAAGGCTGAGCCCGGACCACAAAGCTGGGGCCTGATCTAGCTCAGGGCATCCCTAAAGCCCTGGCCTGCTGGGAGGGACCAGTGTTCCTGACTGCTGTCCCTCTCTTTTTGGGGTCTGTGTGCTCTTGGAGGATGTAGTCGGTGGGGCGCAGTGAGGCTGCTGTGCCGCGGCTGTGCCTCCAGCCCGGAGAGGAGGACTGGCCTGGAGGTACAGCTCCATTTTAATACTGAAATAGCCTCACAGCTAGGCAAGTGGGTGGTTAGGGGAGACAGCTGCAAGACAACTTGAAATGTAACCCATCCTATTGACAAATGATAGTGTGGAGTTGGCATAAAGATGTATTTGAGGGCACTTGCCATGCCCTTGTGGTCCTGCAGAGGCAGAGGAACCAGTAAGTTAGCTACCAGGAGTTAGCTACCTGCAGGTTAGCTAACATCTCGTGGACATCATGAGCGTGGGTGAGCGTCCCACTGCCCTGACCGATGCCGCTTCCAAATGGTGGACGTGTCCCTGGAGGTCGGGGGACTTCCATGGGTCCCGCCGTGGCAGAGATGGGAGTGTCTTCCTGAGTGCTGTGTTGGACTGAGAGCAGCGCTCTGGGTGGGGTTTGCTAGTTTGGGGCATCCCCTGTCCCTGCCAAGTCTCCTCGCTGTCACCCCTGAGGGTGGCTGGTGAGGAAGGAGTGAGCTGGAGTGTCTTCTGGCACGTCTGGAGCCGGCTGCTGCCAAAAGGGCCCCAGCAGAGCTTGCGGTGCAACTTAGCACGGCGCGTCCGGTGACCCTGCCACTGCATGACGGGGATAGTATTTCTTCAGGGACGTCGGTCTGCTGGTGAACCCATTTCTCCCTCAGGAGTTTGCCCTCAGACCCTTTCCCGTGGCAGCCTCGAGGGGATGGCCTGGGTTCGAGGACATCCTCTGCTCCGGTTGCCTTGACAATAGGTTGCACAAGGTCTCGAGATGACAGGAGGCATCCCGGTGCTGGAGTTTCAGACACTCCATGGCAACCGCCTTCTTTGATGTGCCGGGGGTTTAACTGCTCGGTAATTGAACAAAGTCAAAGGGAACAAGAAGATATTAAGGATGGACATGATTGTTGTGCTCCTCAGCCCTTCGCGGGAGCAGTTCTTATGACGAGACCCTTAACTACTGTCAGCCGGGCAGTGATTGCAGCCATAATGACAGGTCAGGATTGTGCTCTTCGGTTTCTCTTCCTATTTCAGCCCTGGGGCCCATTAGGCCTGTGAATTACGTACATGAAAAACTGGAGGTCCTTGTGCTTTGGAAGTGGTGGAAATGCTTAGCCTTTCTGGGAATTAGCTTATTTTTTGTTTTTGACTGGCAAAGCCTGAATGCTTTTACAGAGAGATGAGAGCTTCCCCGTGCCGTCCCTGGGGGCACAAGCATGGAGAGGAGGCTCCGTCACTGGAGTCACAGGGCTGTGTCACAACCACTCATTTGGAGATGGCTGCCGCAAGCCCAGTGCACAGCTTCACCCAGAGCTTCAGTCCTGCGGGCCAGAAGCTCAGGTGATTTTTAGTGACATTTGGGTCCATAAGTGGGCAATGCCCTTGCAGCCCCCACTCGGCTGTGCCCAGCTCCAGATGGTTGCTCTGATGTCTGATGACTTGGGGAAGAGTCTCTTGGAGAGGAACGAGGAGTTAGGTTGCCTTCTTTCCACTCGTGTTAGTGAGCTGGGACTGAGCCAATGATCGGACCTGGCCCATGAGTGCCTCCTCCTCATACTGGGGCTCCAGCAAGTCTTGTGAGCTGGGTGAGATAAATCCAGGATCTGGAGGTCTCTGGGCTGTCCCTGAGCTGGAAGGCAGTAATTCTGGCCATTTTGCTGGGGAGTCTGAGCAGGTCACCCTTTGCATGGTGCCCACTCATCCCTGGGGGTGTAATCAAGAGTTTTGCAGCTGCTCCAGAGATTCACGTTCAAGTCTTGCTCCACGTTTGTCCCAAAGGCTAGAATCGGCTCTCAACAGGGTGGCTGGGGAGCCCGAGGAGGCTGGGCCACCTCTGGTGTTCCTTTCTCGATGACACTGGCTGCAGACACTGAGGGAGGACAGCAGTCAGCGCGGACTCGGGAGCGGGTTGGGAGGTATAAACGCTAACCCAGAAGTTGCGGCAAGGTGCTAGTGAGAGCTTTTCTCCCAGAGTAACTTTCATAGGCATTGCTGTGAAGCCGAGCTCTTCTTCTTGCCTTTAAGCCAATGACGGGCACTGTTTGAAGATGTTGGTGTCCCCATATTTCATTTCAAATAGTGACTCACCTTCAGCAGCCCCCAGTCCCAGTCTTCTTCCTGTGCGATATAATAACATCTTTCACCCTGTGTCCTGCTGTTCCTCCACCCAAAAGGTGCCTGCATTTTGGTCCCCAGCCCTGCTTTCTTTGCAAAGTGCCATCTCTCCTAAACACCAGGACCTCTCTGCAGCGTTGCTATTGCTGGATCCGCCCATGAAGACAACAGGCTCTCCAGGATCCAGCCCTAGAGGACTGCCTGGAAGGAGCTGCCGGATCGACACATGCGTGCAGCATCCCACACCCAAGGCGACCCTGGAGCGAGGGGAGATTCCCGACACTGCTGGGTGCCATCGGCTGTGATTGACGCCGCTTGTAGAGGCGCATCTGCGTGTAATACAGCTGTATTAGCAACTGTAAGCACAGGCGGCTCAGCGCTGGCACTAATTGTATGGATATATTCAGCGATATTAATGCCCGCAGACATCCTTGTTAGCTGATCCCTTGCTGAACCACTCTCCGAATCTGCGTGTGTTGGCCTGGGGTGCCAGGCTGTCTGTTTCCCACTGATCGTTCGAATACACTGGAATGAAAAGGAGCTGGGAAGCTCAGAGCCTGGCTCTGTACCAGCACCGTGCGCGGCACTTCCCCTGGGACGCTGGTGGAGGCTGCACAGGCGCGGGGGATACGCAGGTGGAGAGGTGCCGCTTACCCAAGAAGATGCGCCTTCGCAGCCCAACACGAAGGACGCCTGTGGGCAGCGGGGCTGAGATTTGTCACCCGCTCCTGCTCTGTGGTCGAACGTGCCCTCTTGGTACTGCGCTGCTTTTCAGGCACCTCTGGGTGTGTATCACGGGCAGCAGTTTTGCACCAAGGAGCGGGATGGTCAGAGGGAAAGGCATGCAAACGCGGTAGAAATACAGTCACTTCCTAAAAAGGGCTGTGTTACGGTGGCAGCAAAGATGCCTCCAGGAGCCGGTTGCCTTTGTGCACACCTAGGTGGAAACGGGAGTCGGGGTCACCCCGTTGTGATTCCCCGATGGGCAGCTGATGAGCGGTATCTTCCTTTCGCAGCGACGGGATGCATCTCATCTAGCTTGAAACCTCTCCATCTGTGCTGAACATCCAGGCTGGACATCCAGGATTTTATCCTGTGGTCCCCTGGGTGAGGAAGATGGCGAAGAGCGACGGCTCTCAGCAGCAGCTGACGCTTGCTGGCTGGGGCCGGGGTGCTGCCGATGAGTCACAGCCCTCGTGGGTGATAGTGGTGGAAATCTTCTCTCCTGTTAATGACAATGCCGGGAGCTGACTCACTGTGTTCCCCCCGGGGGGGTTTCCAAATGCTCGTCTGCGTGTCTGGTTCCGACACGCCATGTAGACAAGCCTTGTCCTTTCCTTGCCATGTTCTCCCTTCCCCAGGGCTCATTAAAACCTGGGGCCAGCAGGCGTTAAGGCAAGGAGGAAATGCTGGGGCTGGGATGCGTGGGGCTGCACGGAGATGTCGAGGACTTGGAGACCTGGGCCGTGCCTGACCCGGTCTGCAGCAGGACTTGGCTTTTGTCCCTGGTGAGCTGTGACTCCTGGTGTCACCCGGGGGTGAGAGCAACGTCCCTTGGCCAGCTGAAGCCCAGCGCCTGCAGTTATGCTCGGAAACATCCCCTGCAACCCTGACCTGTGCAAACCCCTCTGCGGCGCGAATCCGGTGGGAATCTGGCAGCCATCTAGGGACTCCTCGAGGATCTGCTCTACGGATGGGGCAGGCAGGGGGTCTCCAATTGGTCTGCAGCCCCTTCATTGTAAAGTTCCTGCCTTTCTCCTAAGTCAGTTGTACAGGACAGTGGGGGGGGGGTCTGATGCCCCATGCAGGGCCAGGTCTGGTGGCTGTTGATGTGGATGCTCAGTTCACACGTACGTGCCAATTTTGCAGAGTGTGGTGCACACTTGAAGCAAAGGGACTGGCTTGAAGTATCCATTAGGAGTGATATCTGGGGGAGGTGATTTGGCTGGGGACCTGTTTGGCCCCTCAGGGTTGTTGGGGGTCCCGATGAGTGTGTCACCAAGCTACAGCAGAGTGTCACTTGGGCTCTGGACTGCTGAGCCCTGTTGCAGGGCTCATCCCACGAGAGCAGCCTTGGCCTCATGGACATCCTTCCCACTGCTGTTGGGTAGCTAAAGGAATTTACCACGGCTCATACAAACCACCTCTGTGCGCGCTGTTGGCAAAAGACCTCAGCTCCCCATTAAATCAGACTTCTACTGATGCCAATTATGATAACTAATTAAACTTCTTCCCAACGACTGCGCTTTGTCTCTGTCCTTTTGAGAGCCTGGCACGAGCTTGATGAAAAGGTGAGCGCTCCCATCATGCAGGCCTATTATGTTAGTGGTTGGACTCCGCCTGCAGAGCCCTGTCAGGGTGCTGTGCAGCGCTGAGCGCTCCCGGTCCCCACCGTCGGCCACCCGCCGGGAAGGCAGAGCCCTCTGGAAGTGGCCACGGTCACCTTACGGGTTGGGTGCAGTGCGTGGTTTGCAAGCAGGTCGAGCCCTCGCAGTGGTTCCTGGAGTGGGGCTGGTGTCCCATTTCAGGTTCATGGGGGAAAATGAGCCTACGGAGGCTGCTGGGTCTGGCAATATTAGTTGCCGTGAGGGCCAGTGATGTACGTAGCCTTGTTTTGCAGGGCAACAAGTCATCTCGCACCTTGGACTAGTCCCGGTTCGGAGGTCAGCGTTGCTCTCCGGACATGCCTGTCTTGCTCCCGCACTCCAAGGGAGCGTTAGCTGACAACATATGCGATTTCGGTGGGGTGAATGCGGCCTCAGTTTAAATAAGGGTTGAGCTCCAGGCTCTGTTGACTCTGCTGGCGTGAGACGTTGCTCCCTGTTGAGCAGCTGTGCTGCTTCTCGGCTCAGCTTTGGGTGGGAAGGAGATGGAGACACCAAACTGGGATCCCTGGTGGTCCTTCCCGGCTTTGTCATCCATCGTATTGGGTATGTTTTGATGTATTGCTCATCTCTCCCCATCTCTCTTCCTTTGGCAGAGCCCATGAGAGCCCCCAAAGGCCTTGCTTTCTCTGAGATCCAGTCCAGGCAGCTGACACTGCAGTGGGAACCGCTGGGCTACAACGTGACCCGATGTCACACCTACACGGTCTCGCTGTGCTATCGCTACTTCGTGGGCACCGGCCACAACCAGACCTTCCGGGAATGCATGAAGATGGAGCGCAACGTGAACCGTTACACCATCAAAAACCTGCTGCCCTACAAAAACATCCACGTCAAGCTCATCCTCTCCAACCCCGAGGGCCGCAAGGAGGGCAAAGAGATGGTATTCCAGACGGACGAGGATGGTGAGTCCACGTAGCTTGTTATGTGCACGAGCTGTCCTGGGAGGCAGCGGGATAGCTCCTGCACCAGCCTCAAGATGTCCCTCCGTAGGCTGGAGCAGGTGCTGCGAGGGCGAGCGGAGGTGTTTACCTTGCCACGTTTGCCGTGATGCAAGTAAACAACTTTCGTCTCCGTGTGTGATGCATCTCCTATGGCGACTTGCTCTAACCGGGGTGGGGAAAGGCTGTTGGAGACCCAGGGTGTTGCAAGGGGGGATGAGTGAAGGCAGCAGTGATGGCAGCAGGGGAGGAGAGGAGCTGGGGATAGCTTGGGAGGACGAGGGTGTAGACCACGGTACAATGCCCGTGCCTACAGCTGTGCCAGAAGCGAGGGAGGGGTATTGAGGACTGTGTGGGGACGAACAGCTGGAAAGCTTCAATGATGCAAGGACAGCGTGTGAAAAGCGGAGTAAGAGAAGGGACAGAGGAAGAGGAGATGCAAGGAGCGTGAGGGCAGTCCTTGAAACACCTCGGAGCTGCTCCCTCCACCCTCTTGCTTCATGGGAAGAGCTTGCTGGGGCAGCACTGCTTGCTCTGGAGGAGGAACATCCTACGTAACCTCAGAACTGCTGCCCTTGTCCTTACAGCCGAGCTTTTTAGCTACGCCCTGTCTGATGAAGGGCGCAGGAGTCAGCCGTGTGGGGTCTGTGGCTGTGACTTCCCTGGCCTGAGTTGTGCCGAGCGGTGGTTTTGGCCCGTATTTGCGAGGGAGCCCCCCTGCCTGATGCTGGTTGATCAGGTCGGGGTGGGTTGCCCTGCTGCGTCCCTTTGTCATGGTGCTCCCCTGCTGCCGGCACGGCGTGTCCCAGCACGGGAAGGTCCTTGTCCATCTGACATTGCGGAATCAAAGCCTAGCAATAACGATTAAAACAGTTAATGCCCTGCATTTAGGTAACTTCTTTCATCTGCAGAGCTCAGCCTGGTTAAATTAAGCTTTGTGCGAAGCGCGTTGTTAACGAGAGGTCAACGTGCCTCCGCCAGCGGCTTTGTTCAGCTTCCCCGATGGTTTTGCCCCAGTTAAGTGCGTGCTCAGGCAGGTTGGGGTTGTACAAATGAGCTCTCTGGATGGATGTGTGCGTTGAAGAGCAGCCTGCCCTGGTTGTTTGCTAGCAGTATTGCTCCTAGACTCAGCAATACGGTTTCTCCTCTCCTTCCCAGCCGTGCTGTGGGACAGTCACCCCAGCCACCGCCAGCCGCTGCTGGCGACCCCTGTCACCGTCCTCGGAGATATTCAAAAGTCGTCTGGACACGGTCCTGAGCAACGTGCTCCAGGTGACCCTGCATGAGCAGGGGGGTTGGACTAGATGGTCTCCAAAGGTCCCTTCCAACCTCAACTGTTCTGTGATTCCCACTGCCAGGTCCCAGCACCCATCACGGCTGGGACCCCCAGAAGGGGGGGGGGCATTCCCCTGCCGGAGGTGCCAGTGCC